CTTTCTTGTTTCCTGCCATCTCTCTTTTATTTTACTCGCTTATTTATATTTTAAGCTTCCCACATAAGAGATCATGCTATATTACCTTGCTCTTGTCTGACCCATTTTACTAAGAATTATGATCTCAAGTTCCATGTCTTTTCCTGCACATAGTACGTCATTCTTGTTCCAGCCTAAATAATACCTGTGTATGTATCTGGTATCTATGTGCGCGTTGCATGTCCCTCACCCGTTCATCTGCTGCTGGGCACAGGAGGCGCTTGCAAAGCTTAGGTGCCCTGGACTGAGCTGCTCAGGCGCCCGCGTGCCTCTGGAGCGTGGCGCCTTTCATTCCTTGGCCGCACACCCAGGAGACGCAGCCGGCGCGGGCGGAGCTCCAGTGCAGCTTCAAGGGATCACATGCTGATCTCCACAGTGTGGTCTACGTGCCCCTGCGCTGTGTAGGGGCTCCGCTTCCCTACACCCTGGGCAGCACGTCTTGTGTCCTGCGCTCCTGACGCCTGGCCTTCCGACTTGGGTGAGGCGGGGCCTCAGAGCTGCTTTGATCTGCATGTCCCTAATGCTGAAGACAGCCAGTACCCTTTCACGTACTCCTTGGCCCCTTGTACTTCTTTTGAGAGGTGTCTGTCTATTCAGTTCACTTTCCCATGTTTTGATGGGGCCATTTGTTTGGGGAGGTTAATGTTTTTCATCCTTTACATCTTAGAGTGTGTGTGTGTGTGTGTGTGTGTGTGTGTATTCTTTATACATTAGTCCTCTATCAAAAGAGCAGCTGGACAATTTCTTTTTCTATTCTATAGGTCGTCTTTTCACTCTTGTGTCCTTTGCTGTGAAGCTTAGTTTGATGTCATCCCAGTCGTTGATCTCTGCTAATACTTCCTGTGTTGTAGAGTTCTAAACAGAAAGCCCTCGTGGTGCCTGTGGCCTCAGACGCTTCCCCTGTGTCACTTCACACAATTCCGGGTGCTTCTGAGACGTATGCCACCACACTTTTAACAAGGCTTCTCCTCCCGTGGTTGGGGAGCTCCATACCCCACCCCAGTTCTTGCACCAGGCTCCTAAAACTGGACTGCTTCTGCATGCTGTTCCCACGAGATCTGGGGCTCATCTTTACTTGGGAGTATGTCATTGAGCATCATTTACTGAAAGCAGCCAGAGCTCATGGAACTAAGCTGACATGATCTCTGCGGGCTACTTGGCTTACGACCCCCCGGGGCTTAGGGAATAGGGACATGTACAAATGCACCCAAATGCCCATGGTAGCTTTGCAGGGAGTTTGAGAAGTATTGGAGTGTATCAGTCAATGCTTAGGAGGAAAACAGACATAACGCAAGGTACACAAATGTATATGCATTTACAAGATTGACTTACAACAGCCGTGCAGTCAGACGAGGAAGGGTAGAGGGTGTCTACACACAGGAGACCAGAGGATCCAGTCACAGACTCGGAGCTCACTGCAGTGACCCCACGAGTCCACCATCAGGAGGCCACAGAAGTGCGGGAAGCCAGGAGATGGGTCTTTGCTCCTTTCCTCTCACACCATCCAGCTGACGAGCTGCACTATAGCCTTCCATGCCCACGCTATGGAACTGCTGAGCTGACGTAGTTCAACATCTCTTATGCAGGCTGGTTCCATCAGCCATCATGTGGAGTACTGGGACACCCACTGGGCTGGGGAGGACGGAGCAGAGAGTTGACTAGTTGTAGGCTCTGCCCTAACTGCCTGTATAATTGGGTGAATGACTTCGCTCCTGTAGGGCTGCACTTTGGTCAAAAAGTAACTAATATCAAAGTTCTAAAATGAACTTTTTCATTTTCTAAACTTAGTTTGTCCAGATAGAGTCATAATTCAGAGTGCAGCCAGACCCCAACTTCCTCAAAGGGCTGGAGAACACCTGGATCTACATGCACCAAGGGATTATGCTGCAGTTATTTCAGAACTTTGCCTAATATTCTGACATTTCACTATACTGATGAGGAATTTCTAGGACGCTAATTGTTAGGAACTCCTTGTATCAAGTACTTAATGTTTAATGCTCTATGTTCCCAAGACGGGATGGAGAGTTGTTCTGAAGATCAATCAGCTTAGTTTAGCAGCAGGGCCTGGGAAGAAACACCAAGGTAGTTAAGGTGTGATGACTGCCTTCAGGGAGCGCCCCACCTAGAACCGCACCGTGTAGCAGGAGCCACAGCCATGTGGAGCTCCAAGGTGCTGGAGTAGTGAGGATGTGGGGGAAGAAAGTGTAAGATCTGAGAGATTAGTAATACAAAGGAGTGTAAAATCTCTCAATTACTTGGTCACCTTGATTATCTATTGAGGTGATACATTTTTATTAAGTTAACATATTTTATTAAATTAATTTTGCCTGTTTCTTTTTAGTTTTTTTTAATGTGGCTGCCAAAAAATTATGATTATGTATCATATTTTTTGAGGGGAAGTTTTGATGGAGAAAATAAAACAGAAATAGCATTTAAGTGCAAAGGCTGGAGAGACTGTCCTTTAGGAAATTATAAAAGGGAAAGGAGGCAAAGCCACTCCCTCTGGGGTTGTGCACAAGGGCGCTGCAAAATATATTACCTGAAAAATGCCTAGAGGTGCTGTGTGTTAGGGTGAGGAACCGGGCTGGCTGTGTAAGTTGATCACTGCAGCATTTTAGCCTCCTTACCCATACAGTGGGGGTGACCCTGGGACCTGCCTCCAAGGACCGCCAGGGTTAACTGAGCTGACCCATGCCCATCGGCCCCACGCAGCAGCGTGGGGTGTGCAGTATGAGCTCCAGAACCACTGGTCACTGCTGTCCCTCCTACACAAGCTCCAGGATGACAGGGACCACTCCTCCGACACTCTCTGCTCCAGATAATCCTTTACATGGGGCCCAGCACTAAACACGAGCCATAAAGTATAGACCAAGGCAGGGCGGGCAGGGAACTGCACACATTCACTGGTTCCAGATTACGACGAGGGAGAGCGCAAATAGCAGGGGAGGGCAGTGCTTGGCCTGGCTGAGCAGCCTCCCGACCTCCCTGTCCCAGAGTCACGACAGCCAGTGAAAACACCAAGAAGGGACCAGCAGTCCCGCGCGTGTGCAGTCGCGCTCCCCATTACCGTGTTTCACATTGCAGCTCGCAAATCTACCCGGCACGTGGTGAAAGCCTTCTGAGGCAAGCCGCCAGGCTCATTCAAGGAAGTCAAGCCACAGAAACAAGGAACTAAGAAGGCTTACAAAATAGTATCTGTAGTGGTAAGACAGAGGTCTTAGTTGTCTTTTATTTCAAATATTTCCTAGGCTGTGTTTTTACCCCAAGTATACGCTATTTTATAGTTGGAGAAAAGAGACAGGAGAAGGGTAAGAAGTTAGTTCGTCCAGATAGAGTCATAATTCGAGTGCAACCAGACCCCAACTTCCTCGAAGGGCTGGAAAACATCTGGATCTACAGGCACGGAGGGATTACGTTGCAGTTATTTTGCAACGGCTGGAGTCTGGATGTCTTCATTTCCTGCTTCTCAGCAATTTGAAATTGAGTTACTTTGTCTTTCTACGCCCAGGTTTCTAAAATGTAAAATTAAGAGATAAACAGTACCTACCCCAAAGGGTTTATGAAGCCTTAAACAAGGAAAATATGTGTCACCTTTTGCGAGCTCCACCACTACCTGAACATCCCCTGTGCTTGGACCCAGGAGGGCGCAGCAAGCAGGGACCTGACGCTTCCTGTCCTCCCACAGATTTCTGAGGCCAGTACAGCCGCTGAGCCTAACGTCCTACCTACGTATTCTCGATTGCTAATAAATGAATCAATTGGGTCAAATTATGGAAGTATTTACCTGCTAAGGAATTCATGTGTTTCCTGCAAACACTTCGCTTCTTAAAAACAAAGCTATACTAAACAGAGATTGTTCTTCGGCTTCTTAAATTCAGGGTCATCATAAGGAAACGAAGACCAAGGTACTGGACACTTCCACCTCAAACACACACCCCTTCCAAAAGGCAGGGCAAGAGCTGAAGGGAGGATGTGTTTTGAAGAGCAGACAATGAGACCCAGGGTTTTCTGGATGTGGCACGGGTGGAAGGAACAAGTGGCTGAGAATGGACAAAGAACAAGCTAAAAATAAAGCTCAAATAAGCAAGGGATTTTCTGAGACTGGAGTTCTGTAGAAGATTCAGTGTCAACTGCTGGTCAAGCATGAAAAAATCAGAAGTGTAAAGCACCAGTCAAGACTAGCGTAAGGTGAAGAACCGGAGACCAAGAAGGAAATCAAGGAGGAATAAGTTGAAACCGCAGTTTTTGCAGCCATTCACTCAGCAAATACTTGTGAAGCACTCTCTCTGTGCTACAGATTAAATAGAAAATAAGAGAAGCAAAAGAGCCCTTGTGTTGGGGGGTGTCTTGGTCATTTTCTTCATCATTAGGACGAAATACCCAACACCCACAGCTTAGAGGAGGAGAGAGTGATTTTGGTTTACACTGCAGAAGCTTCAATCCTTGTGTGGTTGGCTGGCTCCAGGCACCGCGGAAGGGCCTTGGGGGAAGAAAGGCTCTTGCGTCATGGCTGCCAGGTAACAAGACAGAGGGGTCCAGGAGGGAGAGGAGAGCCTCCAGGTCACACTCTCCGCAGCCCTCGCCACCGACTAGACCCACCTCCTGAGCACCGGCTCAGCTGTGGCACGCTCATGCTCCAATCACGAGCGGACGCCCTGTCTGTGAGTGTCTGGGCCTGTGGAGAGCGCTTGTCCCCATCTTCCCTTCTCTGGCCCTGCCATTCTCTGCTACCTGGCCCCCAGGATCAGAGCAGCCCTCCTCTGCTTTGCCCCTCTGTCGTGATGATCCCTCCAGAGAGCCAGCCACCCTCGAACTCAAGTCTCTGAAACCAGAAGCCAAAATCCACCTCTCCTCCTTAAGGTCTTGAGAGTCAGGCATTTGGCCCCACCCCGGGAAAGATGACTAACGCTTATAAATATTTGTTGAATAAATGAATAAAATTACAGCTCAGAAAACCAGTACTTCAAGAGGTGTGTGCTTTCCCAAGGTCATGTAGCAGGCAGAGCCTAAATCTGAACCCAATTTTATGATTTCTAACTGCTACTAAAAAATTTTTGGTGCTCTCCATTGTTTAAAGCTGCAGAGTCAAATATCTGGCATGCCCCCCTCCCAGGCAGTGCCAATGGCCAAGGACGAGGTCTGATGGGTGCACACCTTCCAAACCTGCTCCCCTCTGTCCCTGGACAGAAATATCCCATGCCTAGGAAGTCATTATGTCCCAGGGCACTGTGTCATGGATTTCTTCTCCCACAGCTTTGAAGAAGAGCTCAGACCTGGAGAAAGCCATTGCTACTGCTGCTCTGGTCTTCAGAAACTCTTCTGACCCTGATGGCAAACTTGGAAGAGCTGCTGCAAAAACTCTGCTGCAGGCCCAGTTCCAGAATTTCACACAGGTAGGAGATTGAGGGCCACACCACAATGGCTGGCCCAGGAGCCAGCAGCTCTAGGTCATTACCATTGTGTCACTTCAACCAACAAACATTTACTGATCCCCGCTCTACACCAGGCAGTGAGCTGAGTGCCAGATGTAACGCAATGAAAAGCTAACAGCCCAGTAAAGAAATATGCTGGAAAAGCGATCAGAAATATTTGAAGGACATGAAGAAATAGGGCATGCAACGAGAGTGAAAGGAAGGGACCGTTCTAGGGCAAGCAGTCACAGAATGACTCTTGGAAAATCGGGATTTAGCAAAGAAGTGAAGGGAGCTCAGCATTCACTAGGCAAGAAGTAGTGGGAATGGTGTTGTGCCAAGCAGAGAGAATGGCAGATGCACAGGCCCAGAGGCCAGCAGGAGACTGGAAAGGTGAGAACAGTACTGGTAAAAGGCGGGGGTAGGGCAAGTTATAGCTCAGTGGCTCAAGCACCTGCCTGGCCAATGCAAGGTCCTGAGCTTGATCCCTCATACCACAAAGGAGGAGGAGGAGGAGGAGGAGGAGGAGGAGGAGGAGGAGGAGGAGGAACAGGAGGAGGGGGGAGGGAAGGGGGAAAAGGAGGGGAAAAGGGAGGGGGAAGAGGAGGAAGAGGAGGGGACTAAACCCTTGTGAGAGGCACGGTTAGACAGGTCCAGAGAAGTGACATTCTACAGCTGGGGAGCAGGGCAAGGCAGAAGAAAACACACTAACTGGGAGCAAGCGAGGGTGGGGCAGGAAAGGTGTAACTATGGAGATGCAGCCCAAGCAACAGAGGATGAGCGCAGGGCCAGAGTGGTGAGGAGGAGGAAGACAAGTAGAGGAGACGTTTGGGAAACAGAATGAGCAGAATCTGAAAATGGAGTAGCTGTGACGCTGGAAACATCGGAAGAGAAATGCAGCAGTGACGTTCCCATTCCTGAGGGAAGAAGAAATGAGAGGTGTCGCTCCACTCCCAGACAGGGCGAAGCCTGTGGTCAGCAGACTTGAGGCAGGAGAGCAGGGAGGAGGGAGGAAGGGATGACTGCCTTAGGGAGAGTCCACCTGGAAACTGCCTTGACACGTTGTGGGGGGGGGGAGAGACAAGAAGAAACCAATGGGAAGCCTTGACACTTTCAAGCAGGGAAATGAAGACACCAATGGGAAGCCTTGACACTTTCGGAGGGGCCATGAAGACACCAATGGGAAGCCTTGACACTTTCAGAGGGGTCATGAAGACTCCAATGGGAAGCCTTGACACTTTCAAGCAGGGAAATGAAGAGAGCAGCGGGATGTGTGAGCAGAAGGCTGGCCCAGACATCTGCGTGTGAAACACAGAAGAGTCAGCAGTACAAAACAGCCACTGGGGGAAGGGACTAAGTCATGGCCGCACCTTTCTCAATATTTATCTTTAGCCTACATGGGCCTACAACATACAGTATCATTTCCTTCAAGCTTTTTCTTTGCACTTTCTTCTATACTTAAGTATGTTTACTTATAAGAATACTTCATCATCTTCAACTTTTTTGTGAAACAGAATTTTTTAATTTTTTTAAAGAGAATACAAAAACTAGTTTAAGAAAACATTAAAAATACAGAATTTCACTAAACAAAATGATAGGAATTCAACAATGGTGGTTATATTGCATGCTGTCTTCAAATTAGTTCAGCATGAAAAGTTGGTCAAAAATTAAAAAGAGAGAAAAAAATGTAAGCATTAATTGTTTCAACAGACCAGCAGATATAAAAGTGGAAGATTATAGTGAAGGACTAGATACATAACTGTTCATTCTAACTTGATATTTAGTCTTACACCCTCTAAAGTTGCATTACATTTTACCATCCACATTTGTTCATATTTTAGAAAATACTGGCCCGGGGGGATGAGCAAGAAATAGAGAAGGCTCCGTGGGAGCCCCAAGCACCAGCATCATTGGTGGACAGAGCAAGAAAAGATACAGAAGCTGTCCCTATATCCATTTTGAGACATAAAAGATAACTATGCTCACGTATGTGTATGCATCTCTCTCTCTCTCTCTCTCTCACACACACACACATACACACACACACACACACACTCACTCAGCTTAAGTCTGCCAAGTTACATGAGATGTCCACAACAGGGCAGAGCTGGATCAGGGCACAGCTTCTTGTGGATCTAGGATTGGTCCAAGTGTGGGTCTGCATGCGTGGCTAGTGTAGGGTGGTTAGGCAGGTAACCGAAAGGAAATGCGAAGACGGCCATCTATCTTTGGGGAATGGGGTCAAAGGTTATCTACTCTTTTATATAAACATCTTTCTAAAGATTCTAAATTATACATGCATCATTTTTTAAATACTTTTAAGGAAAGATTATTTGAGGCCATACAAATTAAACAGAATCTGGCAAGAGATGAAAAGTTTGAGGGGATCTTTGAAGAAAGAGTGTGTTAACAGAGCCTGTAGTATCCCCCTGCCTCTGTATCCAGAACAAATGGCCCAGCCCAGAGAAGAAGAGCCCCTGTTCCAAGGGCCCAGAAAACCTCCAAGGGCCTTTTCAAAGCCTGGAAATGAATCCCTCATCTTGGCAGAACAGAGCACACTTGTGGAACCATCGGAAGGAAGCCCTGGACCGGTCTTCAGGAGAGGTCTCTTCAGCCTGCTGTCCCCAGGGCAAGCCATGCCCAAGAAAGGCAGCAGTCTGTTCAGCACACACCATGGCTTGAGTGCAGCAGCACCCCTGAGACGAGCGGCGGCAGAAGGCAGAGCCAAATTTCAGGGGACCCCAGGGGCAGTCACGCTGGGACAACCTCAGCATCAGTGGTGGTCGTTTACACACCAAGCATGTAGAGATATGCCAGGTGCTGCCAGGCCCGTGGCATTCCCTCGGGCAGGTGTGTGCCCTCCAGTCGGTGGCAAAGCTAGAAGCCCACTTCCCTCCCAACTGGGCTTCCACCCGAATCTGCTCTCAGAGGTCTCTGGTAAACTGCACCAGACCTTTCAGCTGAGATGTAGGCCCCAAAGGGGACGCCTTCTTCATAGGGCTGGACATAATGCTGGGGCCCCTAACACCCATCACCAGCCAGATGTAATGGAAGTCACACCGACAGGCCTGCTAAGAAGATATGAAAACAGCGACTGGCCACACCCCAAGAGGACTCCGCCAGCTCTGTAAACTTACACTCTGCAGACAGAAGAAGGAGGAGGAGGAGGAGAAGAGAAGGAGAAAAGAAGAGGGAGAGAGAAGAGCCAAGCCTCCCACCCATGAGGCCTTCAAGGAATGAAGTGCCTGCCCACTACAGTAGAAAATGCCTGTCTTTGTCTTGGAAACGCACACTTTCCAAATAGCAGCAGCTGTCCTGGAGGGAGCACACAGAGCCCCTTTATCCCTCTCCATGGTGCAGCTGGGTCTCCAGCCTAGAGACGCAAGAGAGGATCTAAGCCCAGGAAAGGGACGCGCCATCACTCAGTCACCTCAGTCCCTGCTGCGGTGCATCTTCACAGCTAGCAGATGGACAAGCATTTGAAGCTGAACGAAAGAAAACACAGTTCAGTATAAGAGTGAATCAAATGACCTTTGTGTTTTGAATGTCACAGCTCTAAACTGTACTTTGAAACTGAAAAACCTTTGCATTTATGTGCTGTCCATATGCTTTCCTTCGATGTGTTTGTCAGGACTATGAACTTAGATTTGATTTAGTATCTCACAGTAAATGCTGAGCAATCTTCCAAAAAGCACGCTTTCTTTAAGCATAGTTTATTCTGTATTTTTGGATAATCTTATAGTTCAGAAGGATACAGAAATGACATCTCCCATAACAAAGAGATTGTAGTCCGAAAAGCTGAAAGCATAGAAATGCCTGTGCTCAGTGGAAGGCCGGATAGCCTAGCAACTGAAAGCATGGGCTCTGGAACTGGGTAAGTCAGCCCACAGACGTTGGCCCTGCGCCATGCTCTGCCAAGCTCAGGGACATTTCCAGGATCCTCAGCAGTGCTGCGTCTCTAGAATGGGACTGGGACTAACACCCAGCACTCAGCAAAGCCACCGTGAGATGTCAATCAGATAACCCACACACGATTTAGTACACGGGGCTGGCTGGTAGTGCCCGTGGCCGCTTGCCATGTTGTCAGTGCTCATAACAGGTGTATTTTCGCTTATGATCTACAAAGCCAAGGTTTACAGAGCAAATTGGGCTTTTATTTCTTCTTCCTTCTCACAGGGACAAGAATCCAAGTCATCCTACCGAGAGGTCCTTTCTGAACTTGATGAACACGCAGAAAATAAGCTGGATTTTGAGGACTTCATGATCTTGGTGCTAAGCATCGCTGTCACGTCAGATCTGCTACAAGATATATGGAGTGTTAGAAGTACGAATTAAACAGCTTGCTGTGCGCAGTTAGATAAATATGGGAAAAGCTATCCAGTGATTGAAGGGTTTTCCGTCTTCTCTGTAATGCATTGCGTCTGATTACACATCAGGGGCAGGTGACTGCTGAAATCCAGAACACAGTATAACTCCACAAGCTCACACACACTCTTCGGAAACACACAACACTCAAAAATGCTCGCCTCTCGGGGAGCTGATACGTTACCACACGTCCACTGGACACCTCTGACGTCAGGTTGCGCTCTCTGAATCAACAGTAACTCACAGCAGTTTTCTTAGAGACACTGAGCCGCTCGCCCCTTGACCACTCATTCACTGACGTTTTTAATCAACTGCAAATATGGTATATTTACAACTCTGAGACAGGCCACAGAACACTGAAAGAGTTCATCTTCTGACTTGGGTCCGAAGGTCAGAGAAACCTCACTGACACTCTACTGCCAGCAAAAACCAGATGACCAGGGGCCGCTATGTGGACGCGAGTGGGGGGCAAGCATGCCCATGAAAGGCACAGAGGACTTCCCAGGGGACAAGAATGTTCTCGGTCCTGGCTGTTGAGGAAGTCACACCAGTGCCTGCGTTATTTGTCAGACTCTTTAAACTCACACTACACAGTGAGCTTTACTGAATGGGGATGGTGAATCATACATAAATAAACCTGGCATGAAAAATAAACCCCACTATCCTTGGAACCCAAGTGTGCTCTAACCAACGTGGTTCAGCTTGTGCCTCACAGGCCCACACCCTCCACGGCACCTCCTCTGTTCCTGCCTGTAGAGGTAAAACACAACCACCCTGGGCCTTGCCAGATGCTGCAGGCTTCTGTGGGGAAGCTCAGCAGGGTGTGAGGGGCAAACCAAGGCTCCCGGAGAGGACCCGGGCAGTAGCCACGGCCACGAGGCCACAAGTCATGCACGTGCACACAGACCCTCCTGCACAGCTCCGCCAACGGCTCCTAACACCTCAGTCTCCACAGGAAGAAGAGAGGTTGTGAGTGACCAGGAGGGCACTGGGATCATCAGGTAAGAACTGGAGGGTAGGAGCCCAGATCCAGGGAAGGAGAGAGGTGAATACGGGTCGGGAAGGAGGGACCACACGCTCAGGCCCTCCTCCCTTTCATCCTGTGCTGCTATGCTCTGCAGAGGGCCTGTCACCTCCCATCCGCCACACTTCTACCACAGGCTGAGGCCCTGAGAAAGCTGAGGAGCAGGGACCGCTGCCTTCTCCTTGTGGGAGTTACAGGCGGGAAGACACACGTGCAAACATGACGGCTGGCGCCGTCCAGGATCGCCGCTCTGCCAGGCACTACATGCCTTTGCACTTCCTGACAGCCGAGTGCGGCCAACTGAGCTCAGGTTCTGCAGGCCATTTCCAGCTGGGAGCGTTACAGGCCCGCGCCACCAGCCTGCCTCCTGGTCATGAAATAGGCCCCAAGGAAGCTGCACACCGGCCTGGTCCCTGAGGGTGGTAGGCAGTTTGGAGCAGAACCCCAACCTCTCAGGGGCACCTTACTCACCCTCACATGGCTCCCCAGGAGACGCTGGGTGCCAAAAACAATGAACATGAAACAAACTGCTGTGGCTGGGAAGGGCAGTGGGCCACAGGAACGGACACCGACACGTTCCAGCTTGCCCGTCGAGTACCTAACAGAGACTCCTGGGACGCCGTCCTCGCATCAAAATGCCTGGGTACCAAATCCAGTGAGCTTCAGAGTAGCAGTGTCCCAAAGAGCAGACGGTGCTTAAGGGAGAGATACATCTTGTTTAAATTATTATAGCCTTCCAAGTCCTCCTCTCATTTCCTGTTTTCTTCACAGTCTAATCCATGCACTAAGAAAACCCCTCCCAAAGGGATAGCGCCTGGTAATGGCTCCATGTCTGGGGAGGAAATTATTTCACCCAGTTGTGTTCCAAATCCCCCGAAGCCCAGCTCCTCCTGCGCCCTGTCCTCGCTAAGCCGCAGGCACTGGCGCAAGACCTCGGGCCACAGATGCATAAGACCCAAACTGCCTCCATCCTCGCCTTAGCAGGGGGTAAATGTGCTTAGCAGAAGCGTGTAAACTCAGTTATTTACTAAAAGAGAAGCAGATTAAAGAAAATTATGTATGCCCGTGTTTCCAAGTCTTCTTGCCACAAACTGATTGTCTAGAACCTGGTAGAAAAAGAAAGCAGAATAAAGTTCCATCTTGTTTCTTTCCTTTCAATACGAGGATGACCTTATGGGCCCACGGGCTTCACAACAGTAGCGACTCGTTTGACCTCCGGAACCGCCCTGTGGAGCAGGCACTGGCACTGGAGCCCCTCACGGCCCCCATCTCACAGATGAGGCAACAGAGGCGCAGAGGTCTGGATTTTTCCCAGAGTCTCACCATGAGTGGGACTGGGAGTTCTCCGCCCTCCTTGAGGGCAATGCTAATTTTGTTTTAATATTAGATCTTATTGTGAGCAATAATATTATAACTCGACAAAAATAGCCACACACATTTCAGGCACCGTGCAAGAGGGAGCAGTACCAGCTGGGCCTGGAGAACCATTTGGCATTCCTCAAATAGAACTCCGTGGGCTGTCCTCCCTCGAAGCCCTTTGTGTCTCACTCACAAGTAGCTGAATGTGGCAATCGTGCTGACCAACGGAAAGGTCAAATTCACACCTTTCAGAGAGAGAAAAAGGAGTCGGGCCAATGGCGTGACGCAGAGACTTGGAGCCGTTCCAACCCTCTGGGCTTCTGCGAAGAACTTTCACAGCTCTGTCCCAGATGGAGAGTCACGACCCACTGGGAGGGACATCAATTACCAAATCTATTTTAGCCTGATGGAAAGAATGAAAGCAGCTAAAGGACGTGTACATGCTGCAGCGTCATGACAGACAGGGCCAGGGAAAGGGTGCCGAGGCTCGAGACCTCGGGAGTGGCACTTCTTGGGTCAGGTCCCAGGACCACGAAGTCGCCTCTGTTTGAAAGGCGCCATATGGAGCACGTTAGGTCTCAGCTCAGGTGAGGCCGCGGTGCGAGCCTGCCTCGGGCTTCCTGGTGGCAAGGAGCAAAGCCCCAGTCACATACGCATGCACACGTGCATGCGCAGAGGAAAGCAGAATGCGCGTGTCTATAAACAAGGTGCAGGACTACAACAAAGTGAGAGGGCAGCAAGTGCACACAACGGCCCCCAAATATGGGGACAGGAATAGAAGGCAAGTGCAGGCTTATTCTCTTAGTCTGTCTTTTCCTTTTCTTTTTTATAAATTGCATTTGCACAAACTGAGTATGTGGAGCAATGGGCTGAACTTAGGCATATTCATGCACGCGCATAGCGTGCTTTATTGTGGCCCTTTCCCCTTCCCCCACACCTTGTTCCTTTCCTGTCCTCTAGCAAGTTCCTTTCCACTTTGCTGTCATTGTTTTAAATTTTCTTTCTGGAGACCACAAATGAGCCGAAGCATGACCCCTGACTTTCGGAATCTGGCCTACTCCACCTGACACGGCCATGTCCAGGTCCATCCACTCTCCTGCGAATGACATGACTTGACTCCTCTATACTCTTGGTGGGGTGTAAGTTCGTACAGCCGCTACGCAAATCAGAATGATGTTCCTCAGAAAGGTAAAAACACTGCTCCCGTCTGACCCAGCTATGCCACCCCCACTGTAATCCTGAACAAATTAAAGTTGGCATACTAGAAGGGTACCTGCGTGCCTGTGTTTATTACCGGACAACTCACAATAGCTGAGCTTTTGGAACCAGCCTTGGTGCCTGCTGACAGATGAAAGGATAAAGAAACGCGGTATCTCCGCACAATGGAGTGTCATTCTCTTAATTCTTCCTAACTTGCCCTCTCTCTCTGCTCCTCTCTGCACGTGGTCATTACTTTGCAGTGTCTTCCTCTACCTCAGTCTCCTGGCCAGTTCTCTCTGCTATGTCGGCTGGCTGATTTCCTCTTCAAGTGCTCGGCAGACATTCCATAGCACTCAGAGGCCCAACGCTGTCCTCAGGACACAGATCCCAACTGGCTGAGTGAGCAGAGGCGGCTCCTGAGCCTATGGCCAGGAGACAGAGAGGCCACGTCCCCACTCAGCAGGCACAATGGCAGCTGAGTCCTCAGACAGGACCTAGGCAAGTTCTGAGAGAAGGAAGAAAGAAGCCGGGGAAAACAAATTGATGGAGGAATCTACAATCTCTAGAACAAAATCTACAACTCGCTTCTCAGATACAGGCTCAGCAGTGGAAAGTTTCATTTGTTATTCCAAAAGAAACCTTTTTTGCACTGTCACTGAACAAAAGACACAAACCTGAGTCTCCCTGGGAAGTAGTCCTCGATTAATTACAGCTAAGATGTTCTTATGCAAGGGCTGCGGCACCCTCGCAATTAGCTGAGCGAGACAGAAACACACCCGGCCCAGATCCCCTAATTTTCTTCATTTTAACACCCAAAGATGGGTCCAAGTAGGATCAGGATTTGGGCTTTAGTCGTCTGTGAGAAAGTGGGAGAGGGCTGGATGCAAGTCTTAGGCATGCTGGTCACAAGTGACCTCTGGTACAAGTGCAGCTACCGAGAGCTGCTGGGATCCGCCCCGAGAACAGCACATACCAGATCGGGCCAGGCAGAACCCCCAAGAAATCTGCGCGGTCATGTGTTGCACCTGCTTTATTTCTACAGTGTCAGTCCAAGCTACCTGGTTGATTCAGATCTTTCTCTCATCTTTAAGTGGGTAAAACTTTTAAATAAACAAATTCTTCAGGTGGCACAGCAATTAAACAGAATTTTGAGCATGCTTTATTGTGACTAAATTTTTTTTAAAAAAATAAAGCTTTCCTTGAGAAGCACCTTGTACTCCTTTAACAAATTGTCAATTCTTTATCCACCACTTCAAATTTCAAGAGCTTCTACCACTCAGAATTTTTTCATACTTATTTGGTGATAAAACATGAGTTAGAACCCAGGAGAAGCCATTTGCTGTCTTTATGTCCCCAGCTGAGTGGGAGTGTTCACAGTATGTGGCACAGAGCTGTATACACCGTGGAAACTACTCAGCCAGCGAAAAGTACAGATGGAACAGAGCGCGACCGTGGCCCCAGAGCGCCACCGCCAGCTGTGTGTGGCTCTGGAGGGCTCCTCCACCTCCTGTGATGGAGCCCCGTAGTTTTCCAGTACAAATTTGGGATGAGCAAGGGGCCTCTTTTCAACAAGCTGCTGTGAGATGTCAAGAGGCAATTTATCAAAAAAAAAAAAAAAAAAAAAAGAGGCAATTTATCTACTGTTAGCAAATTTTAATAACCATGATTTTAATGAATAGCTGTACTTTATAGAACATTTACTACTCTCAAGCACTGCAGTACGGTCTTTGGCTTAATTCTCCACACAACTGGAGGAAACTGGTACAATCACCTCTGTCACTAGGGGATGCAAGCGAGAGTGGGTGGCT